TAGATGGGATAGGATTAGGTGAGGTCATTCAGGAGACTAGGACTGGGCTAGAAATAAAAATGAAGATGTAGGAACAAAGGTGTCTGTGGCCCTTAGGGTACTTGTGTTCAGAATTCCGTATTTGGGTCTTTTTGTGGAGAAAAAAGTCATTGCTTTATCAGATTCTCATACATCCAGTGACCCGAAGAGGTTAAGAATTTCTAAGTAAAGATAATCATAGAAGCACCAGAAAATGGATGAGATTATCCAGAGGGAGTAAGGGTAGCCCATGGCAGGGGGAACGACTGTTTTGTTTTGTTTTTGAGACAGAGTCTCACTTTGTCGCCCTCGGTAGAGTGCTGTGGTGTCATGGCTCACAGTAATCTCAAACTCTTCAACTCAAGCAATTCTCTTGCCGTAGCCTCACAAGTAACTGGGACTACAGGCGCCCACTTACAACTCCTGGCTATTTTTAGAAACCGAGTCTTGCTCTGACTCAGGCTGGTGTCTCAAACCTATGGGCTCAGGCAGTCCACCCACCTTGGCCTCCCAGAGTGCTGGGATTATAGGCGTGAGCCACCATGCCTGGCCAGGTGAAGGACTTTCAAGGATCTGTGAAGGACTAAAGAACAGGAGGGTGAGTGTAGACCACCTCTTGAAGGGGTGTGCCGACCCCTATATAAAGAACCTGGGCCAGGTGAAGTGGCTCATGGCTGTAATTCCAGCACTTTGGGAGATGGAGGCAGGAGGAATGCTTGAGGCCAGGCATTTGAGACCAGTCTGGGCAACATAGTTGAGATCGTATCTCTACAGTGATGGTACCTCACATATAGTCCTAGCTATCTACTCCAGGAGGCTGAGGCAGGAGAATTGAGCCAAAGGCTGTAGAGAGCTATGATCACACCACTGCCCTCCAGCCTGGATGACGGTGAAAACTGTCTTAAAAAAAAAAAAAAGTAAGGCTGGGTGCAATGGCTTATACCTATAATCCCAGCACACTGCCATGCAGAGGCAGGCAGATCACCTGAGCTCACAGGTTCAAGCTAGAGCGAAAAAATAGCTGGGCATTGTGGCTGGTGCCTGTAGACCAAGCTACGTGGGAAGCTGAGGCAGGAGAATTACTTGAACCCAAAAATTTGAGGTTGCTGTGAGCTGTGATGCCAAGCACTCTACTGGGGGTAATAAAGTGAGACTCTGCCTCAAACAAAGTATAGAACCTTGGCTAAGGCTGGGTGCAGTGGCTCATACCTGTAATCCTAGCACTCTGGGAGGCTGAGGAGGATGGATTGCCTGAACTCACAGGTTCGAGACCAGCCTAAATCAGAGCGAGACCTCCTCTCTAAAAAATAGCCAGGCATTATGGCAGATACCTATAATCCCAGCTACTTGGGAGGCTCAGGAAAGAGAATCACTTGATCCTAAGAGGTTGCTGTGAGCTGTGATGTCATAGCTCTTTCACTTTACAAAGGGTGACAAAGTAAGAAAGACTCTGTCTCCAAAAAAAAAAAGAACCTTGGCCAAGGAGGCAGGAACTAACTGGAATTTCTGTCCTTCTGCCTGTCCTCTGCCACTGCCTCCTCCACCAGTGCCTGGAGGCCGGCTTGATGATGGCACAGGTGCCATATAGTTGGACTATTTCTCCACACCCTGACGCCTTTAGTGTTTCCTGGAACTAGAGATAGTGCTTGAGGTGGCACAATAGCCAGGTTGAGAAGCAATTAGCCCATGATGAGGTGGAGGCCCGCCCTGGGCAAACAAACTCCTTGCAGCCTCCACATAGGCACCTGGCAAAGGGGAAGTACGGGAGAGGCAGAGTATGGTGGCAAAGGGGTCAGGTGAGATAATTCCTCTTCCTGCTCAGCATGCCAGGTTCTTGGTCTGGACCTCATAGATAGCTCTTGGGTACTATATGGCTCTGGCTGGGTCCCTGTTCCTTTTTGGGCTCAGCATGGGGGTGGTAGTTCCAGGCTGCCCTGAAAAAGTCTGAGAACAGGAATACAGAGGTCAAAAAGAAGTGAAGAGGGGGACTGGTTTGTCAGGCTGGGCTTTGCTGGGTAACAGATGGTGTATCCTCCCATTGTAGCCTCCCTCTTTAGTGTTGTCATTCCTGGCTCAATGCTGTCAGATCTGTGTCAGGGCTATTCTGGCCAAGTGCCCCTTCAGGTGGAACTAATACCATGTCAGCCAGGACCACGCCAGTCTCTAGAATCAGTGTGGGCCCAAATCCAGGCTCAGCTCTTCACTGAAGGTAAAGGGACTAGAGTAAGATGCTTGGCCTTTCCTGACCCTGGTTTCCCTATGCAGAGCATGGGGTTGGTTAAAACTAAATAAGACATCAGGTCTGAAGAGCACCAGGTAGACCAGCACCAAAGAATAGATGAAGTTGGCTCGGCACCTGTGGCTCAGGCGGCTAAGGCACCAGCCACATACACCTAAGGTGGCGGGTTCGAATCCCCAGCCTTGGGCCTGCCAGACAACAATGATGGCTGCAACCAAAAAATGGCTGGGCGTTGTGGCGGGCGCCTGTAGTCCCAGCTACTTGGGAGGCTGAGACAGGAGACTCGCTTGAGCCCAGGAGTTAGAGGTGAGCGTGATGCCATGGCACTCTACCCAGGGGGATAGCTTGAGGCTCCGTCTCAAAAAAAAAAAAAAAAAGAATATAAGTTCTTTCTGAGATCAAACGGGCAGATCTGAGGCTTTGCCTGGGAGAGAAGGGTAGACAGCCTGGACTCTCAAGGCCTCCTGGAAGGCCTTGAACCAGAGTATAAGGAGTAACCCTTTCCCCTTACCACGATAGTGATTTCAACCTCCCCTCCCTGACTGGGGCACAAGCTTGTTATTTCATAGCTTTCCAGTCCAGTGCCCCCACCCAAGAGGGGGTAGTTTCAGGCCAAAGTCCTCCTGAATTATAAGAAGGTTGGGTGCAGTGACTCACGCCTGTAATCCTAGCACTCTGGGTGGCCAAGGCGGTAGATTGCTTGAGCTCAGGAGTTGGAGACCACCCTGAGCAAGAGAGAGACCCCATCTCTACTAAAAATAGAAAAACTTGGCTTGGCACCTGTGGCTGAAGCGGCTAAGGCACCAGCCACATACACCTGAGCTGGTAGGTTCGGATCCAGCCGGGACCTGCCAACCAATAATGACGGCTGCAACCAAAAAA